AACACATTTAAGAAAAAACTCCCCGAGTGCAGCTGATTTCCACATAGTCCAACATGCAAGCATCGATTTAAAAACAAAATGCACGATTATTTTATTAAATATGTGCTTTATTCTTCTGTGCGCTCTTATCTTTGCCTCTTGTAAATGCTGAAGTGCTTATGCAGCACATGATGACAACACAGCTCAGAAAACAAGGGTCTGTCTGTAAACAAACACTCACTTGATAGATAGAACGATAGATAGCTAGATAGATAGATAGACAGAACAACAGATAGAACGATAGATAGGTAGATAGAACAATAGATAGAACGACAGATAGGTAGATAGAACGATAGACAGCTAGATAGATAGATAGATAGATAGATAGATAGATAGAACAACAGATAGATAGAACGATAGATAGGTAGATAGAACAATAGATAGAACAATAAGATAGCTAAAACGATAGAACGATAGACAGCTAGAAAGAATGATAGATAGCTAGACAGATAGCTGACAGAACGCTAGAAAGAACGCTAGAACGATAGAACAATTGAATAACAGAACGATAGATAGAACGATAGATAGAACGATAGAACGAACGATAGAACGATAGATGGAACGATAGAATGATAGAACAATAGATAGAACGATAGAACGATAGATAGATAGATAGATAGATAGATAGATAGATACTTTAGTGATCCCCAAGGAAATTTAGCTGTTCTTGCATTTTCAACTGTTCAACTAAAGGTTAGCATGCTGGTAAAGAAAGGAAGCCAGTTTCCCACGGCTGAAAGAAAAAGAAAAGCAGGCAAAGAAAAATAAAACCAGAGTGACCAACCAGCCAGGGACTGACAGAGACAGACAGATGATATAGATAAGATAGGTAAGTGTACACGCAGAGGCATCCTGCATGCTTCTCATCATGGACAGCCTAAAACAGTACCAGCCAACAATCACCCGTAACTAATAAGGAGTAGCTGAGCACCACAGCGGTGGAGTGGGAATGCGCGTATGTGAGTTTACACTCATGATTTAATTACTATTACAAGCGCAGCTGTATGTTCTACTGGCGTCAGTCCACGGAAACAAGCCTAGTCACTGAGGACACGGCCCCTGGTACTGAAAGACTGCTCCAGAGTGACCACACACACACACAAACATACACATACACACACACACACACACACACACACACACACACACACACACACACACAAACACTCTGGATGTACCTGCTGCTTGCCCCTAAAAACAAGTTCTCTCTCCGCACGACTACAACCCCCATTAAAACGCTGGAGAAGACTGTAAAGAGATGCTACTACTACATATTCTACACATTACTATCCTGAGTGTTTAAATATCCTATAAAGACCGAATCAGTCACGAGAACCCACCGGCATCCCTCTGCTATTTTTGAGGTTTTGAAGAAAGAATTTTTTTCCCATTTTTGTTTTTGCTTTTTTACTCCCTGCGGTTAACCAGATATCCGCTCACTAACTCTTAAGGATACTCGAAAATATCAAAATTAGTGTCCACATATCCACAGTAGCATAAGCCCTATATATCGCGGTTGTTGGAAGAAAACCTTGTTTCTCCAAAATGGCAACTTTACTGGAGAAGGAAAAAACCTTCTATACTTTTAATGTAAGTCAATGAAACCAGATTTTTTTCCAAGTAATTTTGGGTCGTTTCTTTTGGTCCATTCATTACGAAATTTATATACAATGTAAAGATTAACAGGCATTATCAAATTATGTAAAGAACTGAAATGGAGATACGAGGTGTGTATTTGATTTGATTTGACTGTTCTTTGATAGGAGCATCCAGATGCCTAGTTTTCATAATTCACAATGGTTTCCTTGAAAGATGGCGAATTAGAGACCCTTGGAAATCAACTGTTTCAAATATTTATTTATTTATTTTTAATATTCTAATGAATTTACTGATTTTTTGTACTTTTTATTTGCGGTCTTCGGTACTGCAGTAAAGTTTATTCAATTTCTTCCCTCAAAGATACCCACACACAACGACACAGAGCACAAACATACTTCCACATGACGAGGAGAACCTTTAAAATTCCAGTCTAAACTATTAAAAACACACATTTCAGACAAAAGAAGACAAAACTTCATTTAACATTACCAGCTGCCTTTTGGGGCTGATGTAGCGCAATCAGCTCCTGCCATCGGCTCTTAAGAACCAAATCCAGAGCGGCTGGATTCTGGTCCAATAATAACATTCTCCGCTCACCGCTACCATTAACATATTTTCCGTTACACGCTCTCTCTCCCCCTGCTTATATCAGAACATGTGATGAAAAGGCATTGCTTATGTTAAAACTGTTAAGGAAAGTGCTGCGCGGCAGACGGCATAAGCGATTCATTTTCTAGTGGAACCAAGACAAAACTCACATACAGTTGGTGGTGATTATGAATAATCTTTATCAGAAAGTAAAAGGGTGGTATAATATTCTGCTCTGGTCTTTGAAACAGAAGATTTGTCTTCAGATAGCTTGCAACTTTGCTGCTGCTTTCCCTGAAAACATACAAATCTGCATTACACGCTTTCAGTTCTACAAGCCAGGCTCATCTGCACAGCACCACAGCCTTAAGCTAGCCATTAGAAAAAACAACAAGAAGAGAAAAGCCTGCCTAAGAAATGCTTTCACCACCACAGAGCGCTTCAGTAATCAGACCCCATCTGCAAGAGGGGCTGTCTCTTTCTGTGCCAGGAGCTAAATAAAATGTCACAATGAGATTACATGGTAATAGATTAGATCTATTGTGTGCTACGGCACAGAAAACTAACGCAGGCCTTTTTTCACACCACAGCCCCCCATATTAACAGGGCGATTACTTTCAGATAGCAGAACCACTGAGGAAACGAATCACGTCTAAGGTGTTATAATACTTATTAGTCTGTCACTAAAGGGCTCTATAGGGAAAGGGCTATTATGTCTGTAAGGGTGGGATGTATACTGGTATAAACGTGAGGTGTGACATCAAAATTTTTTGGCTAAAAAGATAAAGTCTAAACATTTTGGAGATTAAATGGGCTTACAACAAAGGCCCAATCCCATTTCTTATTTTCACCCCCACCCCTTGTTTTTGAGTGTCACCTTGCCCCTTGGAACCCAGTTTTAACAGGTAGTAGTTGAAATCTTCCCTATGAAATGGGACCCTCAAATAAAAAAGAGCATTACTTCATTAATAGCTACTAGCGCAGCTCTGTAGGCGACCCTGCCAGTCTGCAGTGATAGCAGAGGAGGGCAAAATTTAGGGCATCATATGCCTTCAAAAAGGGGGGATGCTATAATTATTTATTATCGCCCATCCCTAATTCTTGGTGATATGAAGCTGAAGTCAGATATTCACCAGCTTCTTGTTCGAATTTTCCCGTTCCACCTTAAATGGAGCAGCAGTTACATTCTGGCGCTTTAGGCGTCAAAACTGCTGGACTATTTAAGGTGGAACGGGAAATTCAGCTAGTGAGTTAACAAGACATTAGCGTACTATTAGAGGTCTTTTATGCTTGTTATGAAGAAAAGGACCATAATACATTGAAACGACATTAAACTGAGATTATACAGTGGTTATCATAATTTTTTAACAGAGAAAATTCTCACATTTGTGGGTTTCTTTGGTCTCTTGTTCAGCCATCTTGCCAGTTTTTCTTTTTTTCTCATAACCCTTTGTTTGGAGTATGTCTCCAAAACTACCCCTCCATCTCGACAACAATTGGGATACCCTAGCCCTAGGAAAACAGAGGGCTACGGGCTAAGTGGTAGGGGCAAGGGGTGAAATAGGATTGGGCCACAGTGTCAAAATATATGACTTTACAAACAACGTTAATGGTAATAAAAAAAAATAAATAATAAAAAAAAGAAATAGTGATGAAAACTCTGGTTGTTCCTTTCTCTCACGTGTGCCAGTCAGTGCAGATGTGTTTAAATAGTCGGAGCAGCAGTATATCAACAGTGAAAACGTCAGCTGTGTGGATCTATTTCATGGTTTCTATTAAGGGAAATTAGACAAGCAATATATAATTCTTCGGTTTGAACAGAGACAACCTGCTCGATATACAGATTACAGCAAAAGAACAGAAGCAGAACGGAAAGTCACAAACAGCCAAAGTACAAACAATAATGAAAATATAATGGAATCCAAGGCCTTGAATTTCCAATCATTCTTAAGGATGTTGGCACATAGAATAGCCTTCATACTGTAATCAGTTTATTTCTGCTTCACAAAATTCAGGTTTTTATTTAGGTGCATCACTGATGAATGTATTACATCTTGGATACTATCATACAGTCACACTGTGTTTAGCTAAAGGTGTAAACATCAGAAGGCTTTTTCACCACATATACTCCAAAAAATTAGACCTTGGCAAGTGAAATCATCTTAAATCCAGTGTAAATGTCTAACATTTCCCTTTTTTAAGATTCTTGTAACAATATTAAGATTATTCAACAGATTTCTAGTTTCCTTGTTTTAAGTGATGGTATCTAAAGATGTTTCTTGTTTCATGTAATGCAGATTATTTTTATTTTTTTTGAGAAATAATGCTTGAAACAAGTAAAATTATCTGCCAACAGAATAACAAACTTTCACTAGATAAAAAGCCCTTCAAGAAGTACAAAAAGAAGAGTCTAGAAATAAGTTAATTTTATAATATTCTCACAACAATCTCGAAAGAAATATTTGACTTGATTTAAGATGATATAACATTCCATAATACCATTTTTTGCATGCGGAGGAACATGGTTAAGTTACTAGACTGTGGGCACCAATTAGCATTTCTGCAATAAATGACAGAAAGCTTTTTTGATGCAAACTGTCTCACTGTGCTGGGGTTTATGAGATTAAGAGGGAACATTATAGCATTTATTAACTATGAAGGGCTTATATCATTTGATTTAAATCATTATTGGTTTTATTTTCAGTATGACATGATACTCGTCCATTACAGTTAAATTCAGTTCATATCACCCACACCAATCTGTCAGTCCTTACCTGTGTCTCCTCCTGCATCACTCGGTACTGCTCCTTCCACACTGCAATCTTGGAGACCTCGTCCTTGCGGAGCGCGCGCTCCTTCTTCAGCTCGGGGCTCCAGAAGGTCTTGATGGAGTTCATGGAGGAGCTGAGCTTGCTCTCCTTCACATCCACCTCCTTGCGCAGGAGCTCGTTCTCCCGTAGCACCTCCTTCAGCTGCGCCTGCAGATCCATGATGGTGTTGTCGCGCGCCTGCCGCAGCGAGTGGGGCACGGTGGATGCCATGCTGGTGGGCATGTGGTCCCCGAAGGCGATGGAGTCGCTGGCCACGGAGCCGGGCACACCAGTGGCGATGTTGGGGCTGCTGCCCATCACAGTGGTGCGGACGCCATAGGGAAGGTGGCCCCCCGAGCGGCCGAGCGTCATCGTGCTCTTTGGCAGGTCCGGTCCGGAGGCCACCACCTCGTTGTCGCTCAGGTACATGGGGCCGGAAGTGGCGTAGGCAGCGTTAAGTGACTGAATGTTCTCCATGGAGAGGGTTTTGCCACCGGGGCCTCCACTTCCACTGCCCCCTGTGCTGCTTGTGCGCCGATGGCCTAGCCGGGGCGAACGGGGCAGGCGAGGTGAGCGGCCAGGGCTTTGATTGCTTCCTCCACTGTGGTTGCCCTCCACTTTGCCCACTGAGCGGGCGCTACCATACATTGTGGCTTTGATTAAGGGTGGTTCTGCGTAAAGCAGAAGAAATCTGGTTAAATATCACTGAGGCTGGTTCAGGTAATCCTCAAAAGTCCTGAAGGACGTTCTAGGCTGGCAGATCTCTTAACTAAACAGGAATAAACATCTCATGGTCGAAAGATCTGAAGCAGGAAACACAGTGACTAGGCTGTAACTCCGCATAAGGGTACTTTGATTTATATCAAGCACAATCCATTGAGTCCGGCTTCGTCAAGCAACAGGTTTACCTGTAACAAATGAAAAAAAGAGAAGTCAGGCCACCACATTACCAAAACAACAGCACTTGAGTAATCAGATAATCGGAAACCCCAGCTCTATATGAGTTGGGCAGTAATCAGATTTCTGCTTTGCAACCAGCCAATAAACTCACAGAAGAAGACGTGACATAAACTTAATGTTAAACTCAAACTTCATGCTGCAGCTTTTTTTTATAAAAACGTGACCTGAATATATGAACATACATCATCTAGAAGATGAATATTTAAAAGAATATTTAAATCCTTCATTTCGTCATGCATGTACTTTGTTTCAGCGTCGCTCCAAAAGTGCTTTGCTGCCATCTTGCAGCAACGCTGCGCGCTTATTTCCGGTACAGCAGTCTGTTTTTGAACAGGTGCAGACTGAGAAATCCGAAAGAAATCAGAGTAAGAGTTTACATGCACTGAGAAATCTGATTACTGAGCTAAAATCCAGCTCTCTTTATTGGATTTCTTAACCAGATTTCTAGACCTTTCTCCAATCTAAGAAATCAGAGTGTGCTGCTTACATGACCATTTGAATAATCAGATAACTGCAGAAATCCGATTATGATCAGATTACTGAGTGCATGTAAACACACTCAGTGGCATGATATAAATAATCCACAGCACAACTGAATAATTAATGTAGCTGCAATTTTAATTATAGCGGCCTACGTTATCAACAACGCTGTCTTCAAATTTAAGTGGGAAAATTTGCCCTACAAACACAAAGCTTGTAAACCTTCTGTAGACCAATCAGAAGCAACCATACACCCATGTACATGACAACATAACCGCAATTGGCTGTCTGGCTGTTCTGCATTTAAGCCTCAAGCCTGAAGAAAATGGTTATGCTAGTGTTCTTGGCAAAAAAAGGCCTGGACCTCAATTTATAGAAATCAATCATAACATTTGACAAAAAATTGCAATTAGATATTTTGCTCAAATCTTTCAGCCCTAATCTATACTCTCCTGAATAAAAGCAGTGCTACTGTCAGACTTCTGGAGCATTTCCCCTGTCTGGAGTCTGCCTGCCTGGCACTTTTTTCCGCAAAGAGGAAATAAAGGCCTAATGAACAACTCTGGCATAATCAGCCTTTTAACCTCCTTCACTGGGCTCTATGTAGGTCACTCACATGCCACAACATATCTGCTTCAGCCCTGTGGCTCACTTCCAGTACCTACACACTGCACCCTTAGCAAACCTTCTCTGCCTCACGTAGTTGATCTTTAGTCCCAGTCTTCCTCCATCTTCACCTGTTCTGTCTTTATTTCTGAGTTTTGTTTTCTATAATTCTCCTGAATGATATACTGTAGTTCTGGACCATTTTCTGGACGTAGTTTAAACCTGAGCATGAACTACATCCTGCTGTCAGAGGATGTAGGACAGGCTTAAGCTGTTTATGAAAAAGCAATGCAACCCTGTCTTTACTACATGGACACCGAAGTCTGAAATGCCAAAGAGCATCCAAGCTACTTGGACAAAGTAATCATAGTCAATTCTGCATCTGCGGGTCAAATACTGCACATGTAAACACATTATATATATATATATATATATATATATATATATATATATATATATATATATATATATATATATATATATATATATATATATACACACACACAGCATACTGGCTTGTAAGATTGGGTGCAATATACTATTGCCCAATCATGCCCCTTCGGCATTATCAGTTGATGATTCTATCAATAAATACATGAATAAATATGACTGACATTGTTCATAAGGATGAAGATGTCAGCACAACCTTCTCTGGCAGTACTACACGCAGTACAACACGCTCCGCTGTGTTCGAGGAAGATCACGGCTCTCAGAGTGGGTGTGGCTACGTGTTCAGAAGACCTGTCAATCCAAATCAGTTAACAATACGAAGTGTAGGTGAACGCCCTCTTCTAAGACCCACCCCCTGTTAACAAGTGCCAAAAGTAAGAAGCAAAGGAAAAATTTCAGAAGCAAAAGAGCGATTCAAGATGCAAAATGTGTATCAGCAAAATCAACAAATAGAGAAAGCAAAATCTGCCAAAACAAGTAATAAATCTATACAGGATCAGTGAAAATAACTAGAAATCTTTTTGAAAAAAATGTTTGATTTAACTGTAATTATTTGTATTTGCAACAAACAATTTTAGACATTTTGATAATCAATATTTTGCTTGTGAACTTTATAATTTTATTTTTAATTTTTGGCACTAAATTAACTCCATATTTACATCCTATAAATCACCTCTTGTTAAAACAGCAAAACGGGCAAAGCTTAATCATGAGAAGGAGCCTAAAGGCTACTGTTACTGCAGCTGCGTCGTCTTTTTTTGTTTTTAATAACTAACAATCACAACGTATCCCTTTTATGGTTCAGTTCATGTTTCGGGGCGGAAGCCTTACCGTGTGTGGAAGGACGCTGCACGGATTTATCAATTTAACTGCACGACAACAGGTGGGGAGAAAAAATCTGCTACACAATGTTTTAAAGCCTGAAAACATACCAGGGCTGCTTCAGGACATCAGCTAACATTACATTAAAAGAAAACTCATTAAAAAAAAGTAATTACTTGGAAACTCAGGCTCATGTTGAAACGTTCCTTAGGATTTGCTTCTCAGTAAAAGTAAGTGTCTACCAGATTTCACTGAATACCACCTTTCTACCAGCAAATCCCTGGAGAGCTGCACACAATAACTACAGTCATAGTTTGGGCTCCCCAGGTCAAATGTTTTGATGATTTTCTATGTTAAAATAAGTTTCTCTTCTGCACATTTTAATGCATAATTACTGTTCATTTGCTGAATTTTAAAATATATGGGGAAATACATATACATAAAATACATAAAATACAATACATAAAATGTTTCCTGTGCAAAAATTATGGCTGAATTTATGCTTTATCTTTTCCCAATACATTAAACTCATCAAATAAATAAAAACACTGCACTGTAATTTACAGAACAAATTACATGTTTAAGTGTGTTACCTGTAGAGGGTGTGATAACTTATTTTCACTCAGAAAATCAACATGTAATCTTACGAATTTGGCTGTTTCTATGCTTGCTAGTGGCATTTCTTTATAACGTCTCATCCCCTCAATACGCACTTCAGCATATTGATTTCGCTTCCATCACTGACGAGCAGGACACTCAACATTCTCAGTTATGCCCAGTCAGGGCTCTGAGGCAGACAATCCATTTATTAGTTTGCTTCAGTGACAGAAATAAAGGGGCTCATCTGTCAAAACAGCTTTTCACGCTGTGCAGTTGAGGTGATTTATTAAGGTCTACACGTCCATCCAGCAGCCACCAATGGGGCCAGCGTCTTGTTACTCTGCCTGGGGTATTTCTAAGGTCTGGATGGGGATGATGGTGTTATGCAGGTGAATGTGTGTGCAGCAGATATTTGGTGAATTCCCTGGACATTTTCCCAGTTTTACAGAATAAACGTGGCCTCCTCACACAGAGTCGGCTTGGCAGGGCTACTTAGGGACACCTTCTTTTTTCTACCCGAGTCCCATTCTCCCATTGACTTTCGTTGGTATTCATCATCCACTGTACTTTGCACTGCCTCTGGCTGTCAAAGGACCAAACCAGAATGTTTGTAAACACATACAGATCAGGCATAACATTATGACCACCTCCTAGTTTCTACGCTCATTGTCCACATTATCAGCTCCACTTACTATATAGGTGCACTTTGTAGTTCTACAGTTACAGACTGTAGTCCATCTGTTTCTCTGCATACTTTGTTAACCACCTTTTACCCTGTTCTTCAGTGGTCAGGACCCCCATGGACACTCACAGAGCAGGTGCTGCTGAGTGGATCAGACACAGCAGTGCTGCTGAAGTTTTTAAAGACTGTGTCCACTCACTGTCCACTGTATTAGACACTCCTACCTTGTCAGTCCACCTTGTAGATGTAAAGTCAGAGACGATAGCTCATCTGCTGCTGCACAGTTTGTGTTGGTCATCCTCTAGTCCTTCATCAGTGGTCACAGGACGCTGCCCACAGGACGCTGTTGGCTGGATATTTTTGGTTAATGGACTATTCTCAGTCCAGCAGTGACACTGAGGTGTTTAAATAGTACCTGCTCTGTGAGGGTCCATGGGGGTCCTGAGCACCGAAGAACAGGGTAAAAGGGGGCTAACAATGTATGCAGAGAAACAGATGGACTACAGTCTGTAACTGTAGAACTACAAAGTGCACCTATATAGTAAGTGGAGCTGATAAAATGGACAATGAGCATAGAAACAAGGAGGTGGTCATCATGTTATGCCTGATCGGTGTAAATGTTGGCTATACATCTGAGTGGATAACTCACATCCAGTCAGTGGTAGGGCCATTTTAAGTAGCGGTAAATATGAACAGAACACGTCACAGAGAAAGTTTATACTGTTCAACATGGCGGGAGCAGAAACTGGTCTGCACATGTATTCCTTAATACATGTATAGCACATTTTTAAGCAATTATCAGTGCTCGCTGTCATGGTAACGTCTAAACTAAGTGATTCTCTACATATGCATAGTTTTGGATCAGACTTGTAGTGAGCACGTAAACGGAGACTTCATCAGATTGTTGAGTAGAGTGAGCACATGAACACCTCAGTCTAAATCTGTAATCGGAATGTATTCAATCGGATTGGCAAAAATCTTTGCACGTAAACACAGACATATTTACAGCCAAGATGGTAAAATGGACATAAAATGTTGTGGCTCCCAAAGTGGTTTGATTTTTGCAGAAAGCAGATTATTTAGAGTTGCCGACCCCTCGGATAGTCAGTGTCTGCTTGATGCATGACTCTGCAGCTTCACATGACACGTAGTTGAGATTTGCAAGTGTGCACATCTGTAAGTCTCTGCGAGCTGCCCAATGCAGACACATTTACACGCCACTTTCAACATTACAAATCCACCTCTAGGGAAATAGAAAATGTGCTTCTTCTGTACTGGAGTTAAAGGGAAATACCACCAATAGTTCAA